GCTCGCCGTGGCGGGGTCAAGCGCATCTCGGGCTTGATCTACGAGGAAACCCGCGGGGTGCTGAAGGTTTTCCTTGAGAATGTGATCAGGGATGCGGTCACCTACACTGAGCACGCCAAGCGCAAGACGGTCACTGCCATGGATGTGGTGTACGCTCTGAAACGCCAGGGCCGCACTCTGTATGGATTCGGCGGCTGAGCAAATCGACGCTTTTCCAGCGAACCCAAAGGCTCTTTTCAGAGCCACCCTATTCTTCCGATTGAGGGCGGAGACCTGAGGACGGGGAAAGGCAGCACATCGGGAGGGAGTGTTGTACTGCAGCTCGTTATCTTACATCGCGACTTGTAATTCTGCCCAGATGCGAAATGTTACATATTCCAGTATTTCTATTTCATTAACCCTTCCAGGAATGATATCTGATTCAGTTTTGACTCTGGGACGCCTGCAGATATTTTAATGGCATGTTCTTTCCATCTGGCTGCTAAACGTAGCAATGACAAATTGTTTTCGGACGAATTATAAACTGGGTCGAATAAAAATGTGCCGATAAATTGAGATTGCGTAACTTTATTAGTGTACACTATATTTGCTTTTATTATGTTGAAATGGGCGGGATTGTTTCGATTCATTAACGGCGGTTACGCGTTCGGTTGAGCAGTTTGGGCTGTGTTAAACCCCGCGCTTTCCTCCTGCCTGTTACAGACAGATCAGACAATAATTCCGTGTCCTGTCGCGCTGTGTGCAAACTAGGTTTTTTAAAAATCCTACAAAGTAGAAGACTTTACCGTCGTCGGACTTTATATTGCCTTTAAATATTTAAATTAATCTCAGGATTGCGAGGGTAAAATCGGCGGTGTATTTGAAATTGACCAGCTGTCATTTCAAGTTAACCATTCAGCTTCCAACAATTATTTTATTGCCTTTTCTGTACCTCCCGGAGCTGTTTCTCAGTGGGTTGAGGGACGGGACTGTATCCAATCCCAGTTCTAAGGCGGGTTCTTCATTCCCTTAAATAGGCAGCACCGCAGCAAGCTTAGCATTAATAGCAGTAGCCTGTAAGTGTGTTGCAGAGAGTTGAACAGAATGGCCAGAACCAAGCAGATAGCGCGCAAATCCACCGGAGGGATAGCTCCCCGCAAGCAGCTGGCGAACAAAGCGGCCCGCAACAGCGCTCCGGCCACGGGCGGAGTGAAGAAACCTCATAGCTACAGGCCCGGCACGATGGCTCTGCGGGAGATCCCCGCTACCAGAAATCCACCGAGCTGCTGATCCGCAAACTGCCCTTCCAGCGCCTGGTGCGAGAGATCGCTCAGGACTTCAAGACCGACCTGCGGTTCCAGAGCTCGGTTGTGATGGCCCTGCAGGAGGCCAGTGAGGCTTACCTGGTGGGGCTGTTTGAGGACACCAACCTGTGTGCCATCCACGCCAAGCGAGTTACCATCATGCCCAAAGATGCGCCGGATCCGCGGGGAGCGCGCCTAAACGGAGCGTGCCCGGCCCTGCACGTTCACCCCGAGAAACCCAACGGCTCTTTTCGGAGCCACTAAAGTATCCAGAGAGAGCCGAACTGATCCGTGACGTGCGTTTCTTTGTTATATTTCTGACTT